AGCTCCTCCAGCCCCAACCCCTGCCCCGGGCAGGGACACCTTCCACTAGAGCAGGTTGCTCCAAGCCCCTGTGTCCAACCTGGCCTTGAACACTGCCAGGGATGGGGCAGCCACAGCTTCTCTGGGCACCCTGTGCCAGCACCTCAGCACCCTCACAGGGAAGAAGGACGTGTCCTTGCTGATCATCCAGCCTTTGTGTTGTTTTTCTCCTTGCAGCCCAGATGAATCATGGAGAAGTTTGGCATGAACTTTGGAGGTGGCCCGAGTAAGAAGGATCTTCTAGAGACTATTGAATCACAGAAGAAGCAGCTTCTTCAATACCAGGTTCGGCTGAAGGATGTTGTCAGAGCCTACAAGAGCCTGCTCAAGGAGAAGGAGGCCTTGGAAGCCAGCTTGAAAGTGTTGTCTGTGTCTCATGAGGCAGATGTTGGTTTGAGCAGTGCTCAGCCTGTGTCTGTGGCCAGCTCTAGCTCTTCCTTTGCAGACTGTGCTGATGACAGGAGCTCTGTTCACAGTGAAGATAGTGTGGGGACAGCTGCCAGTGCAGACACTGCTGCCAGCCTGGCCAGTACCAAGGGCGAAGCAGGGCCCGAGGATGATAAGCTCGTGGCTTCTGCTTCCTCTGTTAAATCAGAAGAGACGAGTGGTTCAGAGAGCGGCATGAGCACGAGCAGTGGGGACGTACCAGCTGCTGCCAGTGAGGCTGATAAAAGAGTTGTGCAGCTGAAGACCCAACTGGCCACCCTGACCAGTGCTCTGGCGACAGTCACGCAGGAGAAGTCCCGCATGGAAGCCTCCTACCAAGCAGACAAGAGGAAGATGAAGCAGGACCTGGATGATGCCATTAAGAAAGCGGAGGATGAGACTGAGAAGCTGGAGGCGGAGCTGAAGTGTGTCCAGGAGCAGCTGGCTGAGACCAAGGCCCGTCTGATCACGCAGCAGCACGACAGAGCCCAGGAGCAGAGCGACCACGCTCTTATGCTGCGGGAGCTGCAGAAGCTGCTGCAGAGCGAGAGGGCTTCGCGCCAGGACGCGGAGCTGAGGCTGGAGGAGAGCAGGGAGATGCTGGCTGGGAGGGCCTGCATGGCCGAGCGTGCAGAGGGCTACGAGCTGCAGATCAAGCAGCTGAGCCAGGAGGTGGAGGACCTGAAGAGAGAGCTGCAGGCTGTTCAGGAGGAGAACAAGAAGCCAGACCCACGGATCCAGGATCTGCAGGAGGAGATGGCCAGCCTCAAGAACCACTTCCAAGTGCAGCTGCTGCAGGAGATGAAGAAGGTAATTCCTTGTCTGGCCCTTGGAGCTGCTCGCTCCAAGGGATGGATCAGCAGCGATTGGGGCAGGTTTGAGGCTTGAGGAGAAGAAATCCCCCTCCCAGTCCCTCAGAGTCCAGGAGGTTTGTATTAAGTGATAATCCTGGAGGAAAATCAAAGCTGTTTGTGATACAGCATGCGAGTCATTACTCAGGGCTGGTGACCACTGGACTTAGGAGCAACCTGTGAGCTGATTACACAGTGGCTGTCCTCCACGGTGTCGTTTGGTTCTGAACCAGTTACCATCTGGTGTGACAGTGGCTGAGCTTGGGAGGAGAGACCTTCCCTCTGCCCCACTGTGGCAGCAAGTGTGGTCTCATCTCGGTACGAGCATCTTGGTGCAGTGCAAGGTACAATCACAGGAGCTCATAAAACTAACTTCCTTCAGAGAAACTCAGGGGCTTGTGGGGAAGGAAGGAAGGTAAATGCAGGAGAAGCCTCCCCCTGCATCCACACAGGCTAGAGCCTAAAAGCTAGAAAGAGGGATGTGCTGGAAAAGAGGAACCTGTGTAACTCAGTGGGTTGGGGGTGATGTGCTCAGGGGTTGGCACTGGGGCTGCAGCACCAGTAGCTGAATTTGTATCTGGAAAGACTGTGGAACAGGATCTTCCTCATCCCTTTGCGCTCTGGGACAAGTTTTCTTCCTGATCTGAAACATCAGTTGGTTTAACGCAGTTTGGGTGAAGGGGACCTGACTCTGGCTGTGGTTTAGCTCCTGGTGGTGTTTGCCAAGTGCTGCCGTTGTCAGAGCACCTCTTGGCCAGATGTCAGTAGCTGAACGAGGTGTGAACTGTGTGTTTGCTGTAGCTCAGAACCCCCTGAATTACATTAGTAGCAGTGCAACAAAGCTCAGGGTTTTGGTGAATTGCAGCGAGATGTGTGAGAGCCTCAGAGCACACACGTTTAAAACAGTCCTGGAGCCACTGGGGGGTGAGTTTGCTGCTTCCCACCCCCCGCACACCTACAGCAGTGCGGGTAATGCTGCTGACAGGAGCTCTGCAGAGCAGGGAGCAAAAGCAGAGGTGCTTTGACTTCATTTTACCCCCAGATAAGCATCCAGCTGGTGGCTCGTGTGGGATTCTGGGGGGAAGCGCAGCCCTGCGCTGGTTTGGAGCTCAGCAGAGCAGAATTAAGCCTCGGTGTGAACCAGAGACCTTTGAGCATTGAGCAAAACTAACCCCGCTGTGTGTGTCTCTGCTCTCAGGCTGCACAGGCAGAGGAGCAGCTCCGCCAGCACGCCCAGATGGAGGAGAGGCGAGTGGCTGACCTGGAAGGCCAAGTCTCTGAGGTGTCAGAGCTGCTCGGCACCTATGAGAAAGCCAAGCAGAAGGACCAGGTGATCATCCAGAAGCTGAAGGACCGCATCGTACAGCTGGACCTGGAGAACAAAACCCTGGCCATCGCTGCCTCCAGCCGAGCCCCTGCTGATGCTCACGTGGAAGAAGCCAACCTGGATGTTAATGTTCTAAAGGATAAAATGGAGAAGCTGAAAAAGCTCTTGCAGGCAGCAGCTAAGAAGAGTGAGACCACTCTGGATGTCGAGAAGCTGTGTGAGCTGGAGCTGCCAAAGGGCACCGAGGCGGGGGATGGTGAGAAGGCCACTGCTGTGTACTACCAGCAGGAGCTGAAGCAGCTGAAGGAAGAGTTTGAGAGGTACAAGATGAGGGCACAAGTGGTTCTCAAGAACAAGTCAACGAAAGACATCAACCTGGCTAAAGACCTGGAGGAAGCTCAGGAGCAGCTGGCTGACCTGAAAGAGAAATACGTTGTGCTTCAGCTGGCCTCTGATGAAATGGAGAAGCAGCACCAGCAGGACATGGAAGCCAAGAAGCAAGAGTTGTCCCAGCTGCAGCAGATCCATAGGCAGGAGTTAGAGAGATGCCAGCTGGACTACAGGGAGCGAGCACTGAAGCTGGAGGAGGAGATGCACAAACAGCGGGACCGGGCCCTGGCAGTGCTGGCCGAGAAGGACCAGGAGCTGGAGCAGCTGAGAGCTGCCACGCTGCCCTATGGCCTTCAAGGGTCCAAAAACTACCTTGTGTCAGATGGTGCTTGCAGTGACCCCCCAGGTAATGATTCCTCAGAGGTTCTCCCCCAGGCTCTTCACCTCTCCACCACCAGCGAGCCCACCTTCATCTTGTACGCGGAGCAGCTGGCGCGCAAGGAGGTGGACATTGTGGCCCTGAGGAAGCAGAAGCACAAGCTGGAAATGCAAGTTCACCACCTCCAGGAGAGGATCTTGGTTGAGGAGGAGAAGCACCGGGAAGAGGTGTCTGCGCTTCAAAGTGAGATCGAGAAGAACTTCAGAGACAAGAGCAGAGAAGGAGCCAACCTGGAGTACCTGAAGAACATCGTCTACCGGTTCCTGACGCTGCCGGACGCGCTGGGGCGGCAGCAGACCCTCACGGCCATCCTCACCATCCTGCACTTCAGCCCAGAGGAGAAACAGAGCATCACAAAGCAGTCAGCGTCCAGCAGCTGGTGGCTGGCTGGCAAGAGATGAGGCTGCGGCCTCTGTTCCAGACTGCTGCTGCCCGGGGCCGTGCTTGTGGTGGTGAACTGAGAGCGCCCGGGGTGCAACCTCCTGCCGCGGAGCAGGAGCTCCCAGCGGAGAGCTGGGCTCCACCTCCTGCTCAGCGCTGGGTTACACCGGATTGTGCTGTTCAGAGGGATCACAGCGCTCCCTGGTGTGAGAATCTGCTCCGAGCTGGAACTTGGTGAAATAATAAATAACACTGGAGCTACTGATGCTTTTTTAACCACAATCTGAAAAGAATCACCCTGTGAGGCGGAGGGTGAGGAGCTCCATTAGAGCTTCAAACACCAGACAGGCTTGTGACTCAAAGGATTTGAAGGAGGGGGGAAGCACTTAGTGCTAAAATAACATAAGACAAAGAGCTGGAAGCCCACAAGAAGGATGAGTCTTGATACCAGCATCATCCAAATGCAGAATCTTGAGCAGTTTCTCATAAGGTTTTATTTTTAACCTAGAGCCAGATTTATACCAGTGGATCTGTAGCAGCTCCATGTAGCACTGGGGACCATTTCTGGATCTCCCTGCAGTCATCAGTGTGCTCAGGAAAGAGAAAATATCTCTGAAATAGAGAAGTTTGAGCCCTTGTAACTGCAGTGGTGCAAGTGGTGATTCCCCAGCAGGGTCCAACCAGAAGGTGCTGTGTAGCAGCTATTCTGGAGCAGGAATCTGAGCCTTCTGACCCTGTCCTGTTGGGACCCAGGGGGTTGCAGGAGGCAGAGGAAAGGCTGAACTAAGCCCCCTGAGCCTTCAGTGGTCATTTCCTGAGCATTTGGGAGGTTCAGTGAAGCTTTGGCGCTCAGCGGTGTTGGTTTTAGAGGCCAGGCGTTGCTCCTGCTTGGTAGGAGCAGCGAGGGGCAGGTGATGGTGCGTGCCCTGAGCTCGCAGTAAACCCCGTGAGGAGGGAGGTCTGCCCAGTTGCTGCGTGGACCTTGAAGTTCTTGCCTCACTTCCTCACAAAAGGGTGAGCGTGGCAGGAGGGAAGCCGAAACAGCTGGGAACGCCTCTGGCTTTGGGAATCCTGCGTTTTGGAGCTGTGCTGCAGATACAAATGTTAACGGACTGTGTGAGAAGGGTGAGGGGAGCTGCAGCTGTGAGCGTGCTGCGGGCTGGAGGGACAGGCTGGGTCCTTGGGGGTCTCCCCAGCTGGTCCCTGGGGTGCTGGGGCCACTAGAAGGGACCCACCAGTTGCCCAGGCCCTGGGGACAGGGACCCTGAGGTGCAGCATCCCTCAGCACTGCCGGGACTTGCTGCCCTGGGGTGGGACCTGGCTCTGAGACAGGACACGCCAGGGAAGGTCCATGTGTCCGGGGGCAGCGCTGGAGCTCCGCGGCTGGGAGAGGTTCTGTGC